ATCCTAGAATTCATATGAAAAGATTGTGTTAGCTCAAAGGGTTTAATATGCCAGATGTTTATAATCAGTTTTTAGTTACGTTATTGTTTTTTTAAATCTCAATTCTATTATTAATTCATTAAAAAATCTCAATTATAACTTTTGTAAAAGAAAATAAGTCAAACACTAATGAATATAATAGTAACCTGCAACAACCAACAACCAACAACCCATATTGTAGAACATGTAAAAATCAACAACCAATGTTTCAGAAATTGCATTATGTCGTAAACGCTGCAACATCTAACAACCAACCATCAATGCTGTAGAAGCTACAACATCTGACAAATTGTTATGTGAATTTTATTGGAGGATAGAAAATAGAGAGAATAACAATTACGATTTCATTGAATTGCTCCAAATACAAAACTAATAACTTATTTATACTAACATAATCTCTAACCATATTTCAAATAGGAAATCTAATTATTATAAATTATATCTTAATCCAATCTAATTATAATTAAAATAACATTTATCTAATAGTTTCGAAACCAATATATGATATAACATATTTAGAATTGCTCCCTACCACCACATGTTGTACTAAAAAAACATATTCAGGATCGCTCAATTCACTACTAATTATGCTAAACTTGTCAAATCGAGCATAGCTCAAGTGGTTAAGACACCTATCTCTGACCAAAAGGTCATGAATTCGAATCTCCATCCCCACGTGTTGAACTCAAAAAAAAAAAGAAATGCTAAACTTGCTCTTAAAACATTTCTTAATAATCGAGAATGTTTCTTACTTATGATTATTAAATACTATATCAAGAAACACGTATGCTTGTGGACAAATGTCTTTACAATCTAAACCTCACTTTTTTATCTCCGCAGTGAACAATCATGAATAATACCATTAATAATGATATTGAATAACTAAATGACATTGTCATCCGTAACTTTGACATCTTTATTCAAGAAATTAGAAATCATATACAACCAAACACCAAACACCAAAAATAATAATAATAATAATATATATATATATATATAGAGTATTTTTGTATATCACAACGAACAACTATAAATAATACTATTAACAAAACGATGTTGTACAATTAAATGACATTCTTGTCATCTATAACTTTCACATCTTTATTCATAAAAATTAGAAATCATAGACAACCAAACACATGAATTAAGATTAGAAATCACAGACAATCAAAGACAATCAAACACCATATATGTATGTATATATATATACACACATATATGTGTATATATAATCTCAAAGTTCGCGTGACATCACTTTAAGATGTCGCTCAAATAGTCCATAATAATATCAAGCGATTACTAGAACTCTAGAGACGTAATGACGTATTTTAGAATAAAACTTTCAAATTTGAAATACTACTATAAAACACAAATGTATGATAAGAGTATATTACATGCTGCATCCATCCGACAAAATTAACCTCACTAACAAGCAGTCAAAACTAATTAATTATAATTTGAAATCTAAAGCAAGACACAAAAGCTAGGCACATATTTTGTTTTAGTTGACTATAACCTCTATCGATACTCCAAAATGCCAACACTCAACTCACACTAAATGAGGGAGGAAGGTGGAGGAGTTATGAAGAACTCACCATCATCAAAGATTTAGTTTATTCCAACCTTTAGGCTTTAATTAGTTGAG